CGTCGATATCCGCTAATGTTGCTGCAAAATCCATTCCATCAAGGAATTCCATTCCAAGGCATCATTCAAGGAGGATTGAGCTCTCAAATACGCCGAGGCATCGTAGACCACTTGAAGTTTTGTGAACTTCTTGTCTGGAGTGACTACCGCTTGATGCGCTAGGTAATGAACGACGGTACCAGGAGAAGTCTTGTTAACTGCTTGTACTTTTTCGAGAATATCCTCGCTCACTTGATCGACAAAGTTTTGGTGATACTGCTGGAGGATGTCAGGTGAGCACTTGAGCCTATTTAGAATTGAGCAGAGTCTCCGTATGCGAGTGCCTTATTGTCCGGTAGTACGGCCGCCTCAGCTTCCCTGATCCGGACCTGATTGCCACTTTCAACGTGAAATTGTGGACTCAAATGTGTTCCATACCACTTGGTCAACCTTTTCCTGTTCTTTCGCCTTTTTTCTGGAGAAGTCGTAGAGTCCTGCACCTTTGAATGCCAGAAATCCTTCCCAGTTTTGCACCTCCATATGCGTGCCTGCTGCGAAGGTGTTTGTGTATGTCTGGTCAGTCGCGACTTCGTCCTGAAGTTTTCCGGCGACTAAGTACCCGAGACGTGAAGGGACAAGTTTGATTCCTGACGGGAGTATCCACGTCGATTGGCTGTCTCCGTAAAACAGACAGAAAACATCGCTGCATCCTAGCAGGATTTGTGGGTGAACGACCTGTTGGTATAGTTTGATTGACAGTTTGATGCCGTTTTCAACGATGAACTGTATATCTTCTTTGGAGGACTTGCTCTGGTAAAAAGAACCCGTAAATGCGTTGATTAGTGTCACTGAAAACGGGTGAGATTTGCGAGTCGCAAGATGAACGTTTGTGATTCCACATCCCTTTCCCATAGGTTCATGGGATCCGATTGTACCGATTTCTAGCTTTACTCTCTTTGCATCGTCGAGCTGGAGGCGAGTTGCTAGTTCATCTGTTATGAAGAAGCGATCAGTTCCAGTGTCTAATAGTACGTGTACTGATTCCCGTGTTTGTGTTCTGGGGTTGAGTACTTGCGCTGCTCCGACCAATATCTCGAGATCCTTCATTTGTCTAGAACAGTTCATACACAGGGCAGTTTCGAGAGTCTCCTCCTTCTCGAGAGGTGCTGTTCGGCAGGACAAGAAGTTGTCCTGGTTCTGCCTTTGTTGAGAGCGAAGGCATTGGTCCTTTTCCCTTGCCTTGTGGGTCAGATCCCGACAGATTGAGATGTGCTGGCCAACAGTTCCGCACAGTCGGCAAGCTCCTTCGGTACACTCACTTGCCATGCGATTTGATCCACCGCAGTTCCTACAAAGCGATCATGTTTCGAGGTTTCAAGCCGTTGTTCTCTTAGTCTCGAGGAGTGTGACCGCTACTTTCACAGTAAAAACGTAAGAAACCCTTCTTGCGAACTATCTGCTGACGTTCATCTTCACTGGCAGATCTTCGCTTGAATGGATCCCTCCGAAATGGAGTTGGAATACCATCGCGAGAGTGAATGCTTTAATGAATCTCTAGTTCTGTATTGATGTGTGCTTGAATCACTGAAAGAAGCACTTTCGTCTCTCAAAGTTCGCCATCTGACAGTTCTTAATTCTTCCGTAACGTGTGTCGCTGAATTGCTTCTGTGAATTTTGACACTATCTGCTTTAGAGCACAGCGCTATCAACCATCTCTCCCTTGAGTTCCATCTGGTTTACTATCGAGGAAAGTTCTTCACTCAATTCCCGCTGGTCTTCTATTTTTTGCTCTTCGCTTTTGTCTCCTCAAGTCCTTCGATGAGTTCTCTTATGAAAAGTTGCGCGTTCCCGTACGTCTTCTTCAGATGTCGCCATTTCGTATGTTCTTCCACTGAATTCAAATTGCTTTATCGACTCCCTTGACTCTCCGCGCATAGCGTCGAGCAAACAAATAATTTTAAATATCGTCCATTTTCCTCGAGTGAACGGAATGTTTAAATGCGCTCCAGAAGCTCCCCCATTTCCATACCTTTCCGCTAAATTTTGGTATAGGTACTGGGGCGAGATCTCTCCTCCTGCGACAGAGTCGGCTCAGCTGAAGATGTCAATTTCGCAATTGCAACTCCAGTTCGCACACTGTCGTTTGGGCCCATACCATCGCTCTTGGGTTGCCTCAGAATTTTCCGCAACTTTCTCAGGAATGGTCTTCTATTGAGCAGTTTCACTGCTAAGGTCATCCGCAGCGTTGGCGTTAGCTCTCAGCGCATTGTCAATACTTCTTTCCCCCATTTCGAAGCCCTTCCTGATTCTGTTCAGCCGAAGTTTTTTTTTTCTTGGATGTATTAGGTTGTCCGGAAAGCTCTCACCGTTTTGTGTTACCATTTTCTGTACTGAATAAAATCTCATTCTCCCTTGCGTCTCAGCAGTACATCCTGAAGAGAATTCCTTGCGCTATCTGAGAGTATAACTGCCGTTTCACCATTGCTTCATAAACCCCCTTTTCTCAAGAAAAGCATGCCAAAAGAGCAACTTCGGACGTTTTTTTCTTCGACTATAAATTGGGTCAATCCGCAGTCGAGACAGCTCAACAAATTAACCAGGTGTGGGGGCCCAATAGTGCTACAGGAAGCACCGTGCGGCAATGGTTCGACAAATTTCGTTCCGGAGATTTCAGCCCTGAAGATGAAGCTCGTAGTGGTTGACTTAAAGCAATACCTGACGAGGATTTGAAGGCGTTTGTGGAAGCTGACCCTCCCAAACAGTTCGACAGATTGCAGAAAAGCTAGGCGTTGGAAAATCCAGTGTTGCAGATGGTGCGAAACGCGTTGGGAAGATTAAAAAAACTCGATAAGTGAGTGCCCCACAATTTGAGAGACCGGCAGAAATTGGCACGTCTCAAGGTTTTCTCTTCACTGCTTTTGCGCAACAGAAACGACGCGTTTTTAGACCGAATTACCTGTGATGAAAAGTGGATCATGTATGATAACAGGAGACGTTACGGACAGTAGTTGGAGCCGACGAACCACCGAGGCAATTTCCAAAGTCAGGGTATGGTGGTCATCGGCTGATCCACTACAACTTTTTGTCACCAGGCCAAACCATCACAGCAGAGTCCTAATGTGAAGAAATCGACGAATGTACCGAAAGTTGCGTCAGCTGCAGCCAGCACTTGTCAACAGAAAGGGTCCGCTTCTTCTGCATGACAACGCCCGCCCACACGTTTCATAAGTCACTATCCATAAAATGAACGAATTGGAAGTTGAAGTTCTACCTTACCCGCCATATTCTCCAGACTTTCACCAACCGACTATCACCTTTTCTAACATTTTCAGTACTTCCTTGCTGGAGAATACTTCATCAGTCAGGACCAGGCAAAAGAGGACTAGGAGGAGGATGGACTTCGTGGATTCTCTACCACCCAATCTTTTCTTTGATGGGATTTATTGAACTGTATCACATTGACAAAAGTGTGCTGATTCGATTAAATCCGATGAGTATTAAGAAAGTTATGATTGTTTGAAGTGAAACACTCGAAACGCTGAAAACTTTCCGGACAAACTAATATTTGCTTCGGTCTTCTTCGCTGAGAGATACAACGATGGGTTGCGCGAGATCTTCTGCAAATTCTTGAAAGAGTGACGAAAGTTTTGAGGTCGCCTTTGCCAGCGGTCCCATTCTCGATGAAAACGTAGACGTCGTCGTTGCTGCACGGTTTCTTCTTGAATGGTTTAATGATGAGCTCGGATTCTTCTGGGAGTCTCCTCAAAGTCTTCAAGTGGCTTGGCTCGATCGTCCTAAGTCGTTCCGATGCACCATGTGTTGCTACACGGGTTCACAAGTTGTGGGTGAATGATTTATTCACATACAACGACAAGGGAGAAAGAGTGAGTGGCCAATAGAAAGTCCTACGATCAAATGCAGAGATGTCCAATGTTTTCCTAAAATTCTCGAAATAAATAAAGCTGCATCCCTAGATCCGCAAGAGTGATGAGCTCTACAAAATTCACATTTTTTCATAAACAAATTGATCGCTGTAGAGAAGTCTTCTCTATACACTCTAATATAAGTGTAGGACACTTCGTGTAGGATGGCATTTTTTCGAAAAACTAAAGTACTTACAAGGGAAGGATGGTAGGTCGAAGTGGTCATTTGCAATGAAACGTAAACCGGCTGGAAGGTCTTCGGACGGGAATTACGAAACCGTCTTCCATATCTGCTGCGGACCTCCCAGAAAGAAGTTAGGAGATTTGTAGTGGGAAAATACACTACGTATTGGCGGCGTAAGGCTGACACGATCGTGGCAGCATGGCCGAGTGCGTACGTCGTAGGCTTAGATAATGTCGCGATAATGTCGTGACCTAATGATTCTGAACTGATGGAGCCACTGCGAACCATTCCATAGAGATCACCTTCTGGGCACTATTGAACTATTCCTGCCTTTACTCAAAAAATTTTTTTTGCTGGAACTTTGCCTATAGATGAAATTCAACGCGCTGCTCACAAATATAACATCCGTTTCGACCGCTGGCAACATTTGGCACCATTATGCGCCAATTTGGCGCCCACCTCTTTTTTCACCAATGTCGATGAAAACCTGCACATGCCGGTTAATTGAGGTCCTGATTACGAATGCAGCATTTTATTTTGGCGGCTGGCGCCATTTGGTTCCATCACCGCGCGGTATCTGCCGGAAAGTTTTCGGCTCGTTATGACAATCTTTTCAGCCGGAGGTGATTTCTGGAATGGGTTCGCAGTGGGCTCCATCAGTTCAGAATCATTACGTCACGACATCATCAACGGACAAGTGTCATGCAAAATAGCTTTTGAAGTTCACAGGGACTACTTTCGAAAAAATGCAAAAAGGGCACACGCATCAAGGATCCAAACCCTCGACCGCGCATCCGTGAGCCCTACGACGTACCCACTGGCCATGCTGCCCACGATCGTGTCAGCCTTACGCCGCCAATTAAGTAGTGTATTTTCCCCACTATAAAGCTCGTAACTTCTTTCTGGAGGTCCGCAGGCAGATATAGAAGACGGTTTCGTAATTCCCGTTCCGAAAGACCTTCCAGCCGGTATACAATTTCATTACAAATGGCTGCTACTCTTCAACCTGCTCCTTACGACCCTCTTGAGCGATGCCCATTTTTAGCCAGGCGGAAGACGAAATTGTCCCTTCTTGGCTCTCCAGCTTCTCGTACTGGGCGCCCATTTCCGTATTCTTAGCCTTATCAACGGCTGCTTAGCGAGTCGCTTGCAGCTCTTGTAGGCAGCGTAGTCTACTAGGCTCCGTGTCTTTTGCCAGCGTTTATATGCTTCCTTGTTCTGCTTGAGCGATCCCCTGGACTTCCTCGTTCCAGAACCAGGCTGCCCTGTCTCCTCTGATACCACCTTGCGTCTCTCCCAGGACTTCCTTGCGCACTGTAGGATGACCTCTGCTGCGTAGGTCCAGGGGTCCTCGACTGGTCCGTGGGGTGTGGGAGCCCAGCCTCCAGTATTCTTCGGCGAGGCTATCCTTTTCTACCTTGCACATTACCATCGAATACTTCGCTCTGCTTTCACCCCTTGTCTTCTTGTAGAGGTCTATGATGATGTCTGCTAGTGACCCGTGCTGAGGGCCCAGCTCTTCCTCAGGCAGTACCTGATATCCTTGACTGTTTTGAGAGACGATCTTCTGACCAGGGACAAGGTCAATTTCCGTTTGGTCTCCCTCACTGCTGTAGGTTATCTTCTGAGTCCTCCTTTTTGCGAAGAAGGTGCTACAAATTGCCAAAAGTCGTAAACTGTGGCTAAGTCAAAGATCCGTTCTCCCTCAGCGTTCTTTGCCCTCATTCCATGGCTTCCCGTGCACCATTCCTAGACCCCTTCTGTTCAGTTCCCACATGGCCATTCAGATCCCCAGCTATGGTGAGGTAGTCATCTTTGGAACCGGTCGTATGGCCTCGTCAGGGTCAGGTATAAATCATCCTTTTCCCCTTCGGAGCAACCGGATCGAGGTGCATACACGGTCAGTACGGTTCACACCCTTCCTTCGTGTCCATTCTCACTCCCATGATCTGATCAACTGATCCTGTTCACAGAAGAGACGCGAGTCCTTCAGGGATTCTGCACCCGCTATGGCCACGCCATTTCGTTTGGTGTTGCTCCATTGTAGAAGAGTTTGACGCCTTCTCCAAGTCTCGTGGGCCTTCACACCATTCCATCGCATTCCTGAAGGCATAGAATTGCATATTCCTTCATCTCAGAGGTCGGCAACCTCACGAGACTTCCCGGTAGCGACCCCACGTTTAGGGTCCCAGTTCGAACTAGCTTCTTTGGCCGAAGTCGTTCACCCCTCGGTGGCCCTCAATACTGACGCACAGAACTCGGGCAAGGGTTTCTGCGCGTCAATTTCGCGGTGACGTCCTAGCATTGACACCTGATTCTGTTGCGACTTGTTGTGATTGTTGGGACGGGTTCCTCCGCAGCCCGGCCTGTCAACATGGGGCTGACGCTGGTTATCGTCCCCATTTTTGCAGTTTTTGCAAGGCAGGTTTGCGCCTCGACAATGATTGAAACTCCGTGGCTCAGGGTGTGAACGTGAGTCTACACTCTTAACCACTCGGCTATCCCTGCCTATGTTCTAGAAGCATACCAAGGTCTTTAAACGAACTGATCACTGGTACTGCGTCGAATGGGGCGGGTTTTTCTTGTTCGAAAATGTACAACAAGGATCATGACGAAGAATTTTT